TGATCATACAAGTCCCAAACCTATTTTAACCTGGGAGTATGAGTTTTTTCTAGGGAATGTTTTAATGTTTTTATGCTACTAAAAGATAGAATACCATATGATAAAACAGAGCTTGGAGGAAGATGTACTGCATTAAACACCTATACTAGAAAAGGTCATATTAATGACCCCAGCCTCCACCTTAAGAATCTAGAAAAAGAAGAGTAAACTAAATGCCAAGTAAACAGAGGGAAGTAAATGATAATTTAACAGAATAATATGGAAACAGTAGAGAAAAATCTATTAAATAAAACACTGATTATTTGAAAAGATCAGTCTAAGTGATAAACCTCTCAAGACTGATCAGTAAAAGGAATGAGAAGACACAATTACCAATATTAGCAACAAGAGAAATGACATCACTACAGATCCTTCAAATATGAAAAGGATATTATGGTAATATTGTGATCAGTTTTTTTCAATGAAATCAGTAAATTAGATTTAATGGAAAAAGTTCTTAAAAGACAAATTATTAAAGCTCACCCAAGAAGAAATGGATAACGTGAATAGGCCTATATCTACTGAAAAATTATGTTTTAAACAACTTCCCACAAACAGCAGCAGAAAAAAAAAACAACTCCATATACAGGTGTCTTCCCTGGAGAATTCTAACAAACAGTAAAGGAAGAAATAATATACAAACATCCAGAAGATTGAAAAGGAAAGAATATGTTCCAAAGACATGGGAAGAAACTACAAATCAATATCCTTCATGAATATAAATGCAGAAATTCTTCACAAATATATATTAAATTGATTCTAAGGATATATAAAAAGGATAATACATCATAATCAAGGGGCATTAACTCCAGGAATGCAAGCTTGCTTTAACATTTGAAGATCAAAGAAATGCATATTAATAAACTCAGAAAGAATAACCATATGATCATATCAATAGATGGAGAAAAAAATCTGACAAAACCCAGCACCTGTTACTAATAAAAACTTTCAACAGATTAGGAATAGAAAGGAATTTCTCAACTTGATACAGATCTATGAAAACCTATAGTTAAAATTATTCTGAATGCTTTTCCTCTAACATCTGGAATAAGGCAAGGATGTCACCTTTTAACATTTCTATTGAACATTTTATTGGAGGTTTTAGCCAGTATAGTATGGCAAGAAAAACAAATAAAAGGCATGTAGGTGTAATGGAAGAAATAAAACTCTTTATTTTCAGAAGTCAAGATCTACCTTGAAAATCTGATAGATTCTCAATTATAACTGAGTTTATCAAGATTGTAGTATAAGATGAATCCATTGCATTTCATTATATTAATAAACAATTGAAAATCCAAATTAAAATTATCATTCACAATAGCATTAAAATATAAAATATTTAGGGATAAACCTGACACTAAATGTGTAAGGAATGTACAATTAAAAGATAAAACATTGCTAAGAGAAATTTTAAGACATCAATAAATGGGAGAACTATTATCAAGGGCTGAGAAGCTCAGGGTTAAGATATCAATTCTCTCCTAACCTAGTATAATAGATTTATAGATTCGTTGCAATTGCAATTGCAATAGAAATTCCATTTATATTTTTGTATAAATTGTAAACTAATTATAAAATTATGTAGAAATACAAGGGCCTGGGATAGACAAACAGCTTAGAAAATAATATTTTTTTTGAAAGAAAAGAAAAATATAGGACTGCCTACCTGATTTCAAGACTTATTTTAAAGCTAACTATCAAGGCCATGTGGTTTTGGAGTTTGAGACAAATAGATCAAATAAACAGAAGACATTCCTAAAACAGTCCCTCATGTTTATGTAGAACTGCTTTTTTTACCAAGATGCAATGACATCTCAATAGATAAAGGATATTTTGTCAACAAACAGTGCTGGAACAAGTAGATTCTCATTTAGATACATACCTCCCACCATACTCAAAATTAAATTGCAAATGGATCACAGACCTACATGTGAAATTAAAAACTATAAAATTTCTAGAAGAAAACAAAGTAGAAAGGTTGTATACTCTTTGGCTAAGCAGATTGCTTAGACACAACACCAAAAGTACGATCCATAGAAGATACATAATTGATAATTTGGACATCAAACATGAAAACTCCTCTAAAGACACTGCTAAGAAAATGACATACCCTGATAAAGCACTTGCCTCCACAATACACACTCAAGTATCAACACAC